ATAGAAATCAGTGTGTAGACAGTTACGGTGAAAAATAATGATAGCTGGAAAACCTGCGCAAAAATTTAACAATACACAATACATTCCACATATTGGAAGCTCTGCGGGACATACAGCAAGTGTTCAACTTAGTTTCTTATACTTCATATCATTTTTTAAGTTATTCAGGAACATGTCGGATTTTTCTCCACAGCAAAAAGTCTACATTGTAAGACTCCACTGTTAGCAGGTTTGACTGTAAGTTACAAAGCATGCGACTGGTGTAATTGTTATGATGTAAGTTGCTAGTATTTATAGTAAAGAGAGAAGATACTTTGCCAGAGACAATTTTATGACTTTTTGGGAGAGGTGATAGTTTTTGATGATAGTATTACAAGATAACTACAGCAAGGGAGAGCATTACATAAATTGCTTGTTTTTCTTTCTTGTTTTAAATGCAGCATTTTAATTCATTGTGTGTGTGCTCTATCGACAGATTGCAGGCATAGTGCAAAATGATCGTAACTTGGCAGTGATTTTTTTTTCAATTTTCAAAACAACCTGTGGCTTTCTGAAGGGGAAAATATAGCGTGATAAATCAGAAAAGGGGAAAATCAAATTCTAACAACTGAGAATGGTTTACCCACACATATTTTAGAATATTCAATTTCAATTCAATTTAACATCCATGATACATGCAGGGCTATCTGTTGGGACAGTGTTCTGTCTTAAGCTGATATAAGTCAGCTGCTGTTAAGTCATGGCTCTAGTGAAAAATGTGCAAAGGGCATTTTAGGGGAAAAATAGTAGCATTTTTAGGGGAAAATATACCTATTTAGGGCTAGGGGGAACAGATTTTATTCGGCTGTAAAATGCAGGAAAAACAATCACTGCTTGGAAAGTAAAGAAAGTAAAGAACAAGATACAGTTGTTTTGCACTTATCCCACAATATAGAATACAGGAGTTCTCTACTGGAATATTTTTTAGAGTATTACTCTTAAGTGCTATCTATGTCTGTCTTCCTTTGTCATCTTTTCTTTTCTTTTTTTTTTTCGAAATTTTTTGAATGTTTTTATTGAATGCTCCTCAATGTGTTTATATGTATATATACAAATATAACATATACAATAGTTTTACCTGGAGAGCTCACATTCTTTTAACTTTACTGATATTTGGTGCATATATAAAGGTGTGTAGAATTTGTGTATTTACTAATACCAAGTTATATATTTTTGTACATTCCATATTTGAAATTGAGAAGTTACTATTAAAATGTATTGTTTGATAGACTCGCCAAAATATAATGTATTTCAGGTGACTTGGTGTTCAGACTATAACTTGCTGTTTGTAGATTGTTTTATGTTGGTTAATTGGAAATCCATATTAAGATTTTATTTTTATATGATAAAAACTTTGTTCTTTTTTGTTCTTATGATAAAAACCTAGTTCTGAATTTTAAAGAAAATCATAGTTCTCATAAAAAATCATTGTTCTAATAAAAATATCTTTGTTTTAATAAAAAAGTCTTTGTTTTAAAAAGGGAAAAAAATTTTTTTTGAGTTTTTTTCCCCCATATTTTTGGTAAAAAAAAATTTTAAAAACCCCCAAAACTGAAAAATCCCTTTGCAGGGGGAACAGGGGGTCAAAAATTTCTAATTATGACAAAACCCTTTTATCCCTTTTTTTAAAAGGGTTTGGGGTTTTATTTTTTTCCCCATTTTTTTAATTTTTTTGTGTTTTTTAAACTTTAAATTTAAAAAATGATGAAAAATTTTCTTGCTTTTGGGGGAATTTTTTCAGGTGATTTAAAATAAAAAACCTTTCAATCTCGTTTTACATTTTTTAAAAAAAATTTCCATGAAAATTTATTTTCCCAAATTTTTTTTATTTGTATTTTTTTTGGCCCAAAAATTGTTTAAAAAAATTTTAAAAAAAATGAGGGTAAAGGAAAAAAAAATAAACCCCCTTGGGAAATCCTTTTCTAATTCCCTTTTTCCCCTTTAATTTGGAATTTTTAAACCCTTTTAAAAAATTTTTTAAAAAAATTGGGTTTTTTCAAAATTTAAATTTTAAAAATTCAAAAAATTTGTAATGCTTTTTAAATTTAAAAATTTTGGGCCAAAAAAATTTGGTTTAAGTGTAGCTAACTACCCAAGGGGGCCCCAAAAACTCAAAGTTTGGGTTTTTGGATTTGGAATTAGGGCTCCTAAGTAAACCCCAAAAAAAACAAAATTTTTTTTTTGTTTAAAAGTTTTGTTGAAAGTTTTTTTCTTTTTCCCCAAAAAACTTTTTAAAAAATTTAATGGACTTTAAATCTTTCCCCCAACTTGCCTTTTGTGATAGGGGTTTGGTAAAACTGCCCAAAAGATCCAGAAAATTTTAAGCAGTCCGAAATTTCTAGTGGGGGAATTTTTAACTGATTAATTTCCCCTTCTGTTTTAAATAAAAAAAAATGCGTCCCTTTTGCCCCCTTGTTGTAATTTTTAAAAAATTAAAACCTTATTGAAAAACCCCAACCGCCTTTTCCTTAAAAAACCCCTTTGTTTTAACTTTTGAAAATTATATCTTTTTAATTATTTTGTCTCGGGGCACCCGGGACCGAGGGGTTAAGGGTCGTTCACTTTAAACCACTTCCCCCCCTCACCTCTTTGGGTCAAAACCCGAAAGAGACTAGGGATTTTTTAAAATATAGGAAACTATCCAGCTAGTTTTATGGGACGTCGGGGGGGTTCTATTTTAGGTGCTTTTTTCATGCTTAAAAAAAGCACGGAAGGGCCCCCAAAAGTTTTCCCTCCATCAGTAAAGTGGAACGCCCATTCACCTATCCTTGTTGGGTGGAAAAAACCAAAAAACAAAAAAAACTTTTATTTTCTTGTCATTGTACACATTTCATGTCTGTCATTCATCTATTTATGTAACATTAAAAGAAATTATCATTTTTAACCAGATTTACTGATAGGAAAATCTTGTTATAGATTGTTGAATGTTAATGGGTGCTGACCTAAATTGTGTTGATGTGCTGATAAACAAATTCTAACACGTTTCACACTATTCTCCTATCAAACAGATAGGGCAATAAAGTGCATTATAACACAATATATACAGCATAAAAAAACGAATGCTTACACATCATATGACGTCAATAAACCAAATGACATCTGGAAAATTACTTCTATGCTCAATGTAGTTCAACATATTTTTATCAATTCTCATTTTGATAAGCATGTTAGAATGGTAATAGATATATATTTTTCTTGCATTCAGTTATAATAATGCATGGTTTATCGTTCAAATTCTTTGTAATTTATCACTCAAGCCTATCAGCCTTTGTGATTATATTCCTGCACGATTATATTCCTGTGCATTTGAACTCCCAACGTGCATTATTCTACAACATTGCACTCAAAATCGATATCTTTTTCCTAAATAAAACAAATTTGTGGCAAATCTGGTTTTGTGACACTTTGTCTGTCACTAGTTTTGTCTTTAGTAGATGTTTATTTTGAAGCTGTTGGTTGTTTTGAATAGTTTTTAAATTTTATGAAAACATATTAAAGAATGTATATATTGGAATCTTCTGTTTAAAGAAAGATAATGTATTACAATAAATATATAAATTTGTAAGTTGTTGTTTGATTAATTATTTGATTTCCTAATAAGTCGCAGTAATGTGGATTCAAATTTGCTTTAGATTTTGGATTCTTTCAGGTGAGGAAGCGCCCCTTGTTGCTGAAGGGTTGCTTTTATGGGTTGATCAGGTATCTGAATGCCACCACCGTTTAACCCTGCATGATAGTAAGAGGCCAGTAAATTAGTTTGAATTATTGGAGTTTATTCATTTCTTAGCTCCAGCAGGTGAGGTGGTTTTGACCTCAGGTATTGCTTCAAGTTTGACACACCAAGGTTAGTCAAAATCATCTTTCCTGTTTTGGCGGTATATGACCTAACCCAGGTTAGCGTGTTGTAAAACCAAACAACAAAATGTGAGACAGCTATCAAATGTTTGTTCTACTTGGTTTCCTGCTCATGCTCGTATAATGCATCAGGATGGCATTTGGTGTTTTCTAATAGAAAAGCTTATTTAGTGGAAGAACAATTAATGGAGACATATCTTCCACATTTTCTTCTTTCTAATTTTTCAACTTTTTACGTTATTCTCTTAATTATATTAAATCATTACCACAGCACTCTAGTTTTTTTCCTGTCGTTTGACTAAAGCCATAGCTATCACATTTAATATGGCACCAAAATAGGATAAAGTGCATATAATCTCCATAGTTAACATGTCGCATTATAGAACTGTTCTAATAGGGGAGATGTGTTGGCAACAGTAGAGTTCAGTAGGTAGATTTGTGGAATGCTATTCAGAGATCCCAGGTTTAAAACAAGGCTGCATAATTTTCTCACCCTGTAACATGTAAAAATTTGTTTCGGTTGTTTGTTTCCTGGGATTCGTGTAACACTAATGTAGTGAAACTGCTACGGTCATGTGCTGACTTCCTTGTGGAGACCTCAGGGGTGCCCCTTGGGTGTCATTTGTATACAGTATGTGTACAATTTGAATATTGTCTCATAAAGTAGTACTCTAGTTGATAAGGTCTCTCAAAAAAGATTTTCCTTTCTATATGTTTAAGATTTAATTAGAACACCAGAGAAGAAATTTTTTTTATTAGAGTACTGATCAATTTAAAAGGATATTAAAAAAAAGCATTGATATTTACAACAACAACTTATTTGTTGTGTTTTATTTTCTATATGTTTAAGGTTTAATTAGAACACCAGAGAAGAAATTTGTTTAGAGTACTGATTAATTTAAAAGGATATAAAAAAAAAAAAGAATTGATATTTACAACGACAGCTTATTTGTTGTGTTTTATTTTCTATAAGGATAGAACATTAATGTCATTGATTATCTTTATGTCATTCACACAACTAGATGTGCGGTCTTTCTCCAAAGCCAATTTACAACAGTATCCCAGTTTCCTTTTTGTTTTGGTATACATTGTATATTGTTCAAGAATGATTTCAGAAATTGCATGTACAAGTTAAATAAGTAACTGATCAACTTCGGTAAACACCTTGATGGCATCTGCATTCTTAGATGATACAATTAACTTTTGCTTCTGGTTAAAGAAAATTGTTTGAGGACTGGTGATACCATCAGCTTTTGTCAACAAGGTTTTACAACCATTGCTTGTATACTGTATGATGCAGTTGGTTTGTTGACATGACACAATTAAACTACCGTTTGCAGTAAGAGCAACACTACCAGCAACCTTCACTTCAGGAACATCAATCTTCACAGGCCTCTGATTCTTCAAATCAAATGAAAATACACCACCCTTTTGTGCAGCGACAAAAATATTTGAAGAATCACTGGATACAGCAATGCACCAAGGCACAGCGACATTAAAATCCAAAGTGGTCCCTGGAAACCCACTTTTATCATAGACCTGAATCTGTTTCCTGTTGAAAAGCCCAACATATAACATGTCTTGGAATGATGCTAGTCCAGTACATGTGTCCTTTACTCTAAATGACCTGGAAGGCTTCATTTTACCATTAACTGATACAAACTGGATATTTTTTTCATTACACATTGAAACTGCTACTTCAGTGTCACTAACGTTACACACTGACCATGGTTGACTTGATAGCCTACATTTATCAGTGACAATATACATAGGTCCAAGCCTCTTTATGCTCTGGTTTGCAGCGTCCACAATGACAAGGTCGCCATTTTGAAGCTGGCAGATACCTGTGATATCGCATCGGTGTTGTTCATCTTTATCTTGAACACTGAACACTTCACATTTGGAAGCAGTGTAGAAATGTCCTAGATCCTTGAAACCACTTAAACAATTTCTTACATCCTCGTTCATTTTGAAATTAAATGGTAGATCTTTGTTTGCTAAAATCCCTTGTATCAATGCTTTAGAAGTGGCTTCAAACTTTCTTGCCCTTTTTGCTAGGACGAAGGCTTGAGAATCATTTGTTGCAGTTTTTATTATTTCTACGTTAACCTTCAAGGTCTTGTAAACTTCCTCTGTTTTCGTAATATCTTCCAAAGCATTTGCGACCTTTTGTTGAAATCGTTTTTCAACAAGTTCGACTGAACGTTTCTCAATTTCATCAAATTGTTTTAAGATATCTTCTCTCATTTGTTTGAAATATGTGCAGGTGACATTCTTCTGTGTTTTATATAGTGTAATGTCTTTTTGTCTCTTCTGTTTAATTGACTCCAGGTCTAAAAGAATGCTCTGTCCGGTAGCCTCTTGTTGTATAAACTCTTCTCTTTTCTTAAAATCAATTGATATGTCAGGGATATAGTATCTGCCTTTACACACGCTGAAAAACAATCAATAAACTCGTGAAAAAGTGGTAAAAGCTTCTCTCAGGCCAAATTAAACAAACATGAAATGAAGTTTTTGTGCATCTATTTATCAAAAATACAATGTACTGTGCCAACATCTTTAAATAAGTTAACAATATTGTGAAATCTAAGTTATCATCTTTTCATTAATCTCGCTGGTCTCTGTTGTGCGAATCTTGCCAAAAAAATGGCCAATATGTTTGACATATCTTAATTAGGATATGCTGTACGTTTTGGCAACTTCTGCCTAAAACTGTTGGACAAGCAATTTTCAGAAATTAAAAATACCGGGGTATTTCCACATATGATCTTACCTGTGATATAATGCAATGCAAACAGCACAACAGACCTCGTCATGATCACTGCAAAACATTTCTAAAGGTTTTCCATTGTGCTTTTCACAACAAATTGTTATCGTCGGCGCAATGGAAGTTGTTTGATTGGTCCTGCATATAGTACTTTGTTCAGAAGGGTCAACAACCTTGTGCGACTTCATCTTTGGAAATTTGTTGTGATCGTTTAGGCAATTTCCACACAGATATTCGCCGCAGTCGATGCAAAATTTAGCAGCTTCTTTATTTTTGCCGTCTGCCGCACATAGAGAACATGTATAATCATACAGGAAGTCATTTCCATGTTCCAATGAACTGACATATGACGGATCCTTTCGACCACCCACCGCCATTGTAGAACCAGAGTTATCTGTAATTTATTATAATAATTAAAATACAATGTAATTATGATGATGTGTAGAATACTTGTTGTTGTAAGTTACTCTTATTTAAGGTGCCGTAAACACATAAACACAATCTGAACCTTTCATGTGCCGTAGACTACAAACAAACAATCACTATTGTACAGCGTTCAACGGAAATAGCCCCTCAATACACCGAAAACGCAAGTAAAATGATTTACAACTATTTCTCCATCATAATTTAGTAAGAAAAAAATATTATGATAGTACGTATAAAATTTATAACCTCGTATGTTCTGATTTTGAATACATAATAAATGTGATACGATCAATCCCGATTTGCCACCAGTATAGTCTCGTCTGCACTCACCATCCGCACTTAAAGATGATATACCTTAAACTGCTAAAAATTCAAAGCTACAAAAATGTTACGCAGGCTTAAATGAACGAACATCTCTTACAATCCTTTCAATTGAATAAAGTACAGATAAACTATCTGCAATGTTTGATAAGAAGTGTCAAGAGCAGCTCATCCTACCACCTCCCCTGAATTTTGTGCAATGACCTTGTCCTTGTTACGCATGAAGCTGTCCTTCATTTCGGGGATTTCAAGATAAAATATAAAAAAAATCAAGCCGAAATCAATGGAAATTCTAGTTACTGATCGGCAGTTTACATTATTGTATAACATCTCAATTATGCAGACAACTGGGTAGTAGATATATTGATTGTTATTAAATTAACATTACTTTTATTGAATGAAGTACATCAATAATGTAATATATTTAAAAACAACAACAACAACAACACATTAATGAAATAGAACAATTTAAAAACAAATATAATTTCATAAATATAAAAAACATGATACATACGTCGTCTGTTTTACAGTTTAACAGAATTGTAGGTCACCGGCTCAATGGCGAAGCGAAAGAGGAAGTAGAAAATGCAAAATAGGAAAACTAAGTTACCTCCCCGCATTTGGAATGGTTTAAATGATTGAAAAAATGATATATAAAAGAAACTTTTTTCCAGACTTGTCTTGACTTTTGCTTGTTATCTTGGTTTCACCATTGAAGAGATTTATATTATTTTTTTTTATTGAATTCGTTGAATAAAACAATATTATGGTCGCTAGATTAAATTCAGAATTGCACCTACACTCGTTCAATATCCTCTATTTATGATATTATCATAAATGATGTTTACATACTTTAAAACCGCTCAAACATGCAAACATGTAACATTATAGGGCTATAGGTACCTGATAAAAAGCAGTTTTTGGACCAGAGTAGCAGACAGTGTAAACTATGATCAGACGCACGGAGGCGCCGGCAGATCTTGGTCTGCACTAGTCACATCGGTAGATTCAGTTACCACCTTTTATTTAGCTTTTCACAAAATCCATTCAGTCTCTTACTAGCGTTTCAAGCTGCTGCAAAATTCATACTTTGATTCTCCTTTTGGAGAGACACAAATAAATGTGCATATAAAGCCACCCAGTGTTTAGTTTCATGTAAACATACAGATTTACTGCACATTCCTACTCACAGACAATAAAGAATTCCAATGTCAAAGATACATATTTTATTTCCTTCAAAACGCCGTTTTTTATTAATTGATAATTAATTTACACGGGACCAAAGTTTGGGTATGCCACCTTCTTCAAAGGCTGTCATTTCTAATGCAATGGGACTGAAACAGGTCCATTTTTTTCTATTAATTCACAAATTATACAATTTTAATATTTATGAAAGAACTTACTTTAACCAGATAATGGATTACACATTCCTGCTATATAACACAAATGTAAATAATTGCTAACGTTACTTATTGCAAACGTCACTTTCAGTAATCAGTTTGAATAACAATGATTAAACCTGATAATATGGCGAATTCAGAAAGCGGGCGTTAAGACAGACTGTAATACTAGTAAGATACACTTACTGAAACGTTACACTTTATGTACAAAATAATTATAGTTATTAATCAAATTTAAGAAACTCTTTTCGCTTAGAATCACATGTCGGTAAAGGATCTGTTTCATGAAATGTGAAAACAACGGACTAAATTTTGCACTTCCAAGTGAAGAGCAATGCCCGACGAGTACATCCGGTCAAACTTTTCGAAACTATTTCAAAACTTTTTGAACATGTATACTTTCGTGACTGTAATGCTCGCTGAAAGAGTCAATGTCAACGGCCCGTCTTCATACAAGCGCTTGGTTGATTCGTGGATAAACTCTTATAGCATCTGTATCTGTAGATGCCAGTATAAGACCTTTTTGTTGACTGTAGAACAAGGCCTGCGGGGCAATGACATCATCAGCTTTAGTCAAAAGGGTTTGATATCTTCCGTCCACGTTGTAAGAGAAAATCTTGTTGCTCTCACTGCATGACACAATTACGTGGCCATTTTCTGACACTGTGATACCGTTTGCAAAGCAAAGGTCTGGGATACGTAACTTTTCGCATGTGCCGTTTCCAATATTTACTGAAAAAACGCCTTCCTTCCGGGAGGCCACATATATGGATGGAAGGCCTTGTAAAGTTGCAATGCTCCAAGGTTCAAATCCTGAGACGCCAATGGATAAATTTATTGTCCTGAGAAGTTTTCCATATTGATTATAAGCTTGAATTTGTTTTCTGTTGAAAGGCCCGACAAATAATGTGTCTCCGGACGAGGTAAGTCCAGTGCAAGTTTCTGTCACCTTAAAGGACCTTGTAAGTTGCATTTTGCCTTTCACTTTCACAAACTGGATACTTTTTTCATTGCACAATGAAACTGCGATTTCGCTGCTGGAAAATTTACAAACGGACCATGGTTGGCTCGGCATAACACATTTTTCTACAAGTCTGTATGAAGGTCCAAGTTTTATAATGTTAACATTAGCAGCGTCAGCTATGACAATTGACCCATCATCTAACTGACATAGGCCTTTTACGTTGCAACGAAATCTATCATTATCATCTTTAATACTAAAGGATTTACTTTTCACTTTGTTACTTGTAAATCTTCCAAGAGCATTTAAACTGACAAGACATTTGTCTACTTGTTCGTATAATTTGTAATCTAATTTCAACGAATTCTTTGATTTTAATTTCTCTACTGAATCTTTTATATCCAACATATGTTTCTTTTCGGCTTTTAATAGAACAAAGGCCTGGGTGTCATTCTGTTCATTTTTTAATTCATCAGCACTGCTTCGTAATGTGTCGCAAACCACGACAACTTTTTCAATGTCATCATTTAAACTTGAAACGTTTTGCTGGAATTTGTCTTCAACATCACTAATGGAACGTGCTTCAAGATCATCAAATTGTTTTAGCATGTCTTCCCTTGCTTGTTTAAATCGCGTCAGTATATCTTCCTTTTGCAATTCCAGTACTTCTACATTTGCGTTCTTCTTTTCTTTAATTGATTCGAGTTCTGACATTATGTTCTGTCTCTCCATCTTTTGTCGCATATATCCCTTACTCTTTCTGCATCCTTTTGATATATCAGGTATATATGCTGTGTCTGGACAGAAGCTAAAAATATGATAAAATATTACAAATTATTGATACATTTAAGAATTTGTCACATGGTACCTCGCCCAGTCATTTACAAACGGTATCTATTGGTAAATTGAAGAACTTAATTTACTTTAGATATAAACTCTTTGTAAGACGCCACACAACTCGTAATTAAATAAACGTCTTGGCCAAACGCTTACTTTGTATGAACATAATATACAATATTAATACCACAATGTACCTTTGAACTAAAATAAATAATATGTGAACCATTCAACAGACAAACAGAATAAGGCTAATACTGTTGTAACAAGAATTTGTAACAGAGTTACCAACGTCCCCCGCCTCGGGGAAGTTTTATATGAAGCAAAAAATTGTGCTATTTCAAAAGATTGAGGCAGGGATCTAAGGATTTTCAGTCCAAAATTATGATCAATGCTAGATATGCAAATGCAACAATAAATTTATTAAAGAAATAAAATGAAACACTGAATTTAAAAATCTATCATGTTAAGCTTTGACATATCGTCTTATTATTGTGACTATTTGTGTCAAGTTATTTCAAAATCCCTTGAACTATGAAGAAGTTCTACATTGGACACAATATATACCCTTTAAAAGACTATGTTAATTTTTGACCTCGAAATGTGACCTTGAACTTGGAGGTAGGGATGCAGGTGTTGCGCATGACACATTGTCTGATTTGTGCCCAAGTATTTTCAAAATCCTTTGATATATGAAAAAGTTATGGACCGGACAAAAAAAAAACCTTTAACAGACTATGTTAATCTTAGACCTCCAAGTGTGACCTTGACCTTGTAGGTTGGTGACCGACTGTTGCGCATGACACATCATCTCATTGTTGTGAACAATTGTGGCAAGTATTTACAAAATCCCTTCAAAGATAAGAAAGTTATAGACCGGACACGAGATATACCCTCAAATAGACAATGTTGACCTTGAATAAGCAAGTGCGACCTTGACCCTGGAGGTAGGGGTCTGGTTGTTGCACATGACACACCGTCTTATTATAACAAACATTTGTGCCAAGTTATTTCAAATTCCTTCAATAAATGACAAAGTTATGGACCGGACACGATATATACCCTGTAACAGGCTATGTTAATCTTTGACATCCAAGTGTGACCTTGACCTTGGAGGTAGATGACCGGTTGTTGCGCATGACATATCTTCTCATTATTGTGAGCAATTGTGGCAAGTATTTACAAAATCCCTTCAAAGATAAAAAAAAGTTATGGACCGGACACGACATATACCCTCAAATAGACAATGTTGACCTTGAATGAGCAAGTGCGACCTTGACCCTGGAGGTAGGGTCTGGTTTTTGCGCATGACACATCGTCTTATTATAACAAACATTTGTGCCAAGTTATATCAGATTCCTTCAATAAATGACAAAGTTATGGACCGGACACGAAAGTGTGACGGACGGACAGACGGACGGATGTTCTTACCAGAGCTACATTATGGGGTTTTCTTTTGTTATTCTTTTGTTCTTTTTAACCCCACAATGCAAAAAATAACCCCACAAGAGAAACGGAATGAATGACATCAAAGACATCTACAATAGACCAAACCCCATAATGTAGCTCTGGTTTGTACGGACGGACAGACGGAAGTTCTCACAGGGGCTACTCTATTGTCCTCTCTATTGTTCTTTTTAGCCACACAAAAGAAAATAGCCACATAAAAGCATTACGGAATGAATGACATCAAAGAGAAAGAACAGTTACCTATTGTCCCTCTAGCCACATAATTACTCTCCTGTGAGTGCGGACGGACGGACAGACGGATGGAAAGACGGACAGACGGACGGAGCCTATTACTATATCCCCCTTTTTTCTTCGAAAAGGCGGTGGACAACAAGCCTGTTATTGTTACAAGCAACAAAACATTAAGTGCAATTCCTCAACAAGATTATTCTAACAAGAGCTGTCGGTAGGACAGCAACGCTCGACTATTCTTAGTGCTTGATAGTAAAAAAAATGCTTGATACAGTTACCTCCTCCTGTTTACAGGTTGGGGTCATGATGGTGAACAAGTGTGCAAAGTTTCAAAGCCATATGTCAATGGACTTTGAAAATATTTGAACTATTACAAAAATTTTAACGTAAATTCTAAGTCGATAAAGGGGCATAATTCTGTCAAAATGCTTGATAGAGTTACTTCCTCCTGTTTACAGGTTGGGGTCATGATGTTGAACAAGTGTGCAAAGTTTCAAAGCCATATGTCAATGGACTTTGAAAATATTTGAACTATTACAAAAACTTTAACGTAAATTCTAAGTCGAAAAAGGGGCATAATTCTGTCAAAATGCTTGATAGAGTTACCTCCTCCTGTTTACAGGTTGGGGTCATGATGTTGAACAAGTGTGCAAAGTTTCAAAGCCATATGTCAATGGACTTTGAAAATATTTGAACTATTACAAAAACTTTAACGTAAATTCTAAGTCGAAAAAGGGGCATAATTCTGTCAAAATGCTTGATAGAGTTACCTCCTCTTGTCTACAAGTTGGGGTCATGATGGTGAACAAGTGTGCAAAGTTTCAAAGCCATATGTCAATGGACTTTGAAAATATTTGAACTATTACAAAAACTTTAACGTAAATTCTAAGTCGAAAAAGGGGCATAATTCTGTCAAAATGCTTGATAGAGTTACCTCCTCTTGTCTACAGGTTGGGGTCATGATGGTGAACAAGTGTGCAAAGTTTCAAAGCCATATGTCAATGGACTTTGTAAATATATGAGGTGTTATAAAAAAACTTTATCATAAATTCTATGTCGAAAAAGGGCCATAATTCTGTCAAAATGCTTGATAGAGTTACCTCCTCCTGTTTACAGGTTGGGGTCATGATGGTGAACAAGTGTGCAAAGTTTCAAAGCCATATGTCAATGGACTTTGAAAATATTTGAACTATTACAAAAACTTTAACGTAAATTCTAAGTCGAAAAAGGGGCATAATTCTGTCAAAATGCTTGATAGAGTTACCTCCTCCTGTCTACAGGTTGGGGTCATGATGGTGAACAAGTGTGCAAAGTTTCAAAGCCATATGTCTATGGACTTTGAAAATATTTGAACTATTACAAAAACTTTAACATAAGTGGTTACGCCGACGCCGACGCCGACGCTCGGGTGACTGCAATAGCTCTACTTATTCTTATCGAATAGTCGAGCTAAAAATAGAACTGAGGTATCAATGGTCTTTGATTCATCGATTTAATAATCATGTTTCTTAGAAAATAACAGTACACCCTGACTTAATATCAGCCGTATTATTACCCGCCCTCTTTACTAGTATTTGTCACGCTGACCAGTAAGTTGTTCATGGCGTTCACATTACCTATGTTCTAGCTGGAGACAGTCAGCGCAGCAAACCTCGTCATGATCACCACAGAACATGTCTACAACTTTCCCGCCGTGCTTGGAACAGGTCACTGTAATACTTTGCACGTCGGAACCTTTCCGGTTTACTTGTACACGGGAGCGGTTCGTATTGGCTGGGTCAACAACGCGGTGTCCTTTCGTTCCTCCGTAACGATTATGACCATTGAGACAGGAAATACATAAATATTCGTCACAGTCCATGCAGAACTTGACTGCTTCTGTGTTTTTCCCTTCATTTTCACACGGTGAGCATGTAAAGTCGTGGAGGAAATCACATCCGTGCTGGAGAGAGTTTGAATAAGACGGGTCCTTCCGACCACCAACTGCCATGGTCTGAACTTTGTGAGTTTTATACTGAAAGTAAGTAGTTGGTCTTTTTAAAAATTTTTCTTTTGGGGTTTTTCCTTTATTAAACTTGTGTTTTAGTAAACGAAACCCTTTAAAATAAAAGGGCTAAAATGCCTAAGATGAGTCAAAAATTTTTTCAATAAAACCAAATTAAAAAAAATTATTAAAATTTTAAAAAAAAAGGAAAAATTTTAAAAGATTTAAGTAACTTTTTCCCATATTAGGGTGCGTTTAAAATGCTAATTTTTCAGAAATTTAAAACATTTTTCCACTTGGTTAAAAACGCATTTTAAGGCTATTTTTGCATTTTTTACCACTTTTTAGGTAATTTAACTTTGGTTTTGTAATTTCCCAATTGATAACTTTAAAAATTTTGCCTTTTTTTTTCCCTTTACTTTTTAAATTTTTTTAACTTTTTAAAAAAAATTTTTTATGAAAATTAGCTGAAAGCCTTTAATTTCATTTGTTTTCTTTTTTTGGGTTTAAAATACGGAAAAACCAAACCCCAGAAAGGGGTTATTTTCCGAAACGGGAAAAGGGATTTTGCCTAACATCGGGTTTTAAAAATAACTTTTAAAAAAAAACAAAAGGGTTTAAAAAATTTCAAACATGAAAATTTAAAAAAAACTTGCCTTAAAAATTTTAAAAGTTTACATTTTTTTTAAATTTACGTTTTATAATAAATTTCCCTTTTAAATTAAACAATTTTATTTTTCTTTAAGGAAATTAAATATAAACCCAAAAACCCCCCAAAAACAAAAAGTTCATAAAACAGTTTTGTAAAAACTGGGGTTATATGAAGCATATATGAAGGATAAAATAAAGGGGAAAATTTTTTTCTTTTGAAAAATAAATAATTTTATTACAAAAGGTTTTTGAGCTTTTTAAAGAAAAAAAATTTGGGTTGAAAAACCGTTCTGAAAAAATTTAAACAGTGGGAACTTAGAAAAAGGGTTAAAACCCTGTAAAATATGTAAAAAACAGGGTTTACTTTTTCCCTTTTGTAAAAAAATTCCCGGGGGCATTTTTGAGTTTTGATTTGTTATTTTAAAATCAAAAATTTATAATTAATTAAATTTATTAAATTTAATAAATTGTAAACTTTAAGTTTTGCCTATCTTTTTTTATCAGCGAAATTTATACGTTTCCCCTTTTAAATTAAAATTTATTAAATTAAAAGGGAAGTAAAAATTAACTAATTAAAAAAAAAATTTTTAACTTTTGATTGAAAAGTTTTTTTTTAAAAATTTGACTTTAAATAGAAAAATTTCACTTTCTTTTCCCAAATACGAATGGGGCCCCGGTCACTTTGCTGGGGAAATTTTCAGAAATTAAAAAAAGAAAAAAAAGTAACAATTTAAGTTAAAATATTTTGACTTTTTAAATTTAAGTTTCATTTTTATCTAGAAGCTTTTGTGTTATGTTTTTAATTGTTAAAAACCCGTCCCCTAAATCGATGATCAATAATTATAAAATAAAAATATGAATTTACCTGCCGTTTCAAACGAACCTCCAACCGGGAATTCACTGAGCAGTAATCAATACACGAATATTTAGTGGTGTTATGCCTAAGCGATGACTACAATTTCAACTTTTATCATACCTCAAGTTTCTGGGTTCATAGGTTAGAATTTTTCATATGGAAAACATTGATCCAGCTAATTAATATGTAAAAATTGTTAAAAGTAATAATCATGCAATTATTTCGGGTTGAGGGCGAATCTACAGTAATATTTTCGGAAAATGCTTAACCTAATCGGAATATTTAGGCTATTAATCTAGACCGAGAAGATGCGATTGTGCCAAACTTGGATTAACGTCTGCAGCAGAATTAACTCCAATTTGATAATGACTTACAGGTCTATTGGATCGGGTGCTTAAATCATGTTATTGTCATTACATAATACGTATGACTGTCGTTCTATATAACAAAAAAATTTACTCACTAACTTGTACCAAACATTCCCGAAGCGATTACTTCCCCTGATCACAAATTCATAGTTTAACTTTTAAATTAAATACTGATTTCATTTGTTATACCCCCGGGGATATATAGGAGTCAGCTTGTCGGTCGGTCCGTCCGTCGGTCGGTCGATCGGTCGGCCAACATAAGCAACCTTATTTGAAGACACAGGTTGGTATTACATTTGGACCCCCCTGGGGTCAAGGTCACCGTTACTAAAAATAGAAAAAAAATGGTTTCCGGGCAGTAACTAAAGTTAGGAATGAGATTTTGCAATCAAGCTTGGTGTATAGCAAACTTATATGAAGACCCTGGTTGTTATTGCATTTGGACCCCTGGGGTCAAGGTAAAGGTCACCGTTACTAAAAATAGAAAAATGGCTTCCCGACAATAACTAGAGTAAGGAATGAGATATTGTAATCAAACTTGGTGTATAACAAGCGTATATGAAGATCCTGGTTGGGATTGCAATCTTTGTGCACAGTTGATACTTCATTTACTATAGGTTGAGTTCAAATTTTCCTTCAGACCACTTTTTTTCAAAATGTCAAAGTTGCTGGTGGTGGTATTTATCACCTTATGTGATAGGTCTAGTTTAAAACTTAATGTACCAAAAGGTAAAATATAATCTTAGAAATATATTTTGAATATTGATATTGAAAGTTGTTTTCACTGCAATATTTGCAGTTCTCATTAATTTGCGGTTCATTGACCGTGGTATAAAAAATTGAAATATTAAATAGACTAAACAAACAAATTCTATTTCTACCCATATTCGTCTAAACATGATGAGAATAATCAACATTTTTAAAGTCAAAACAAAGATTAATGATGACCTCATTTTACAAAATGGCCAACTAATGGTGTTTCATCTTCAGTTTCTTGTGTTTGGAATGTAAAATACTAAATGTTTCATCTCTAGTAAAATATATTAACCTTCTTTACCTTTGTAACAATCTTTTCCCCTAAAAACTGGAATATTGAGAATTTTCGGATTCTTACAGACAGGTACAATTATATAACGACTATCGATCGTGTTATTTTTTTCTCCAGAAATGAGTAAAATGTTCTTATATTTCCCTAAAAGACTTGCGGATTTAAACTATTTTTGTTGAAAACTTCGTTATTTAAGTCAATGTCTAGATTTAGTCAACTTTGACCAATGTCATCACGAGCTAAATAGAAATATGCCAAAACCGTGAAATAAGTAATGATGCAAATTTAATGATGTCATATGAGATGTTTATTGCAAATTTTGTGTTTGCTTGGAACTCCAAAACTCCAAAATAAGTAGGCCTACTGTTTGGACTCTGTTTTGTGCACTAGAAGTGCACTTTAACATTTCTTTTGCTAAAAGTACATGAACCGCGTTTTATTATTTAGTTGAGATAAGACTTTCTAGACAGATATTTCAGCTGTTGATTTAAGGTATAAATATGTCATTAGCAAATTGAATACAAACACTTAAGTTGAAATTTTCGATATATTTAATCTCTATATACATGTTCTTACATGTTTTACAAAAACACTATGGTGTCCTCTATAACATGTTTGTCAGAGAGTTCTACAAATCTAGGTAGGTAACTTGGGTTGCACAAACAGATCCGCAGAAACTTAACACGGAAGCAGCAATCACTATAGTAACAGTACTTCCGGCAAAATGTACAAGGCTTCCCATACATAATGAGAGTATGAATTGGGCTAAAAATACCATGCTACTGACGAGAGCGACATCGGTTCCAAGTCCCCGGATGTTTGCGCTTCCTTTTTCATCGTCTTTGCTGAACTGGAATATATAAATAGGACATGGATAAATTAGACTGTATTTGCACAAACATGTACTGTTATTTCATTAAAGGAACTCCATTGAGGTCAAACAGCTTGAAAACATAGAATTTGAAATTCTCCCAAAGATCAAGTTATGTACTTAAATGGAAACATCTGCCAAAGATATGGAACAAATATACTTATAGTTCAATTGAAAGTCGATTTATACACGATTTCTAGTCTGTTTTGATTGAAAAAAGCGTTGTAACCTTTGATCATTTTGCACAAAAAAATTATTCTAGGAACACGGAGTGAGGGAATGAAAAAATCAAATCTGGGAAAACTTTCCAGTTCCTTCATGTTAAAAAACCTCAGTGGAGTTTTAAGGTGGGGTTCTATTTGACGAAAAAATCAAAGACATACCAAATTTATGAGACTTAATTCACTGTTTTACAATTTCACAACAATACGTCCATTTAATCATTTCACGGATACTTGCTGAAATGTACTTTGGGCACGCATTTAATGTATGATTTTTAATGTTTTTGTTAAGGTTATATGTTAATGATTACATTCATATATAAATTATTATAAATAAATTAAAAGATAAGTTTACACCTTAAAAAACATAATTTAAAGACATACATATTATTGTCATGCAAATTGATGCAAGCAGTTCTAAAGAAGAACAACAACATTAGTTTAAGTAGAACGACATACCTTCCCGCTAGAATGATAGTGGGCGACAAGCAGGTAGGGCATGGTAAACAATGTAGCATACATGATACCGGCACACGGTGACAACAAAATCACAGCCACAGGGTGACGACTTATTGCTAGTATCACCATTCCAACGGTATATACCAACTGTCCAAATACATACACATGCTTTGCCGCTGAAACATTCAGTTAAACTGTATTATATGCATTTGTTCATTTAATTATCAAAGATGGCAAAATGGTCAGAGTATGTCTGACACAATGTTAAATGATTTAAGTAGGTGTCTTTACAAACCCAAGAACGACTATAGACCATCATAAAATCTACGATGTGGCACTGCCACAAACATATTGCAATGGTTCTAACACTTCTTCAATCAGTCGTTACTTGACTTCATTTGTGGCTAGGCACATTATGTGTTTGTAAAATCACCATTCGGGCAAACTCTCTAGCTTTTGATAATTTGCATACACCTCGATACATCATGGATGCAAAAAACATAAAAAAAAAACAAACAAAAAACGCAGTTTCTTAAATAACATGTGTTTCAAAATTTAATGGCACTACCTCAATAAAGTTTTTTGAGCTTTGTTATGTTTGAACCGTTGAAGCATGAATCTAAAATTGAGATATTAATAAGAATAAAAAGAACTTACAAAATTTTTCAACAAGATATTCGACGGCTAAAGAATACAGAGCGCATGAGAATGAGTATAGTGACATTCCTAGTGACCCCAACCGAACTCCCTCATCATATAGTAGGTGCTTGCTACTGCCAACAGGTGCTTGTGGATCCCCACCATATACTGACTGACCTACAAAGTCTGTGAAATACAAAGAGTAACACACTAGCGACATCCAGCAGAATAAGTTTGTCAAACAAAGAATCAGCAGTGATCTGGGCATCCTTACTATGGAGCGAAGGTATGTTTTTAGTGACACTTCTTCGGATAAATCCCTATATTCGGATAAAGATTTACTTAGCGGAGGCCTTTGATTAATTTCGGATTGATTGTTGTCTACCTGGACGGAAACATCATTTGATTCGACAGAATGTTCGTGCTCATTCCACTGTTTATTTGTTTTATCGCATTTATTAACACTGTTCATGCTGTCAGAAGTTTCTTCATGCATTGCGCCATAAGACACATTTTTCTCTTTCACATGCTCAGTTTCACTCCATTCAGTTTCTTCTTCAGAACTTTCGTTCACAAACTTTTTGTACTTTGCTTTTTTCACGGTCTTATTCTTCTTCTGTGTTTGCTCTTTCGTAAATCCTAGATCTTTTAGTGGTATTTCTTTAAAACTTGTCAAGGTTAGAAAGACAAACACGATAAAAAGAAAAAGGACACCTGTAAAAACCACTCTGACATGTCCTCCCAGAGCGGCACCGAAGCTGGTTGATTCCCAATCAATACCTCCCATCAAATATCCAAAGCTACCCCCTAGTCCCGCCATTACAGTGAATGACGTCAGACCACGTGAATGATCCTCTGGAACACTAATATCAAGTAAATATGTTCTACATGGTGATTGACAGGCATCACAATTAAAGTCTAACATAGCCACGCCCAAAATAGTCAGAATGATTCCAATAACGTGTTTATGTGGAAGTTTCCTAGGCGAAGGCCATTCTGGGCTAAAATCGGACCGCAAAATAGCTTTTGTACCATTCTGAAATAAAACTAAATTGTTTGTGGAATTGATTCTCTTAAGTATTGTAGCTGTGTCATTTGAACGTGCAGTGTTTATATCAGTTCCGGTATCACCAGCAAGTACTCCAAGATCTTCACCGTTTGGAACTAGAATAAGTCCAACTATTATACCTAAGGAAAATAATAAGATAAAAGGACGTCTCCTTCCTAGCTTCAATGGACACCTGTCACTCAAAGATCCCATAATTGGCACTAAGAAGAAACCAAGAAGAGGACTCACGCACCATACTAAAGTCATGAATGCCACCGGCACACCCAATTTCAACAGGATAGGACTTACAAATGCGGTTTCTGCTGCATAACACAATTCTATACCGCATACAGCTGCGCTAAGTCGTATCAGCTGAGCTCGTGATTTACGCGATGTCACGTGACTATAATTCGGCTGCAAACCAGTGCCAGAGAAAGACTTAACAAGATCTTGGATGCGTTGGACGTAATCATGATCTCTCAATGATTGTAGGTATTCACTGTCTTTGAGGCTTTTAATGGCTTGAAGTTTCGAAGTAAGAATTCCTAAAGACATCGTCTGGAATAAAAAAATAAGTGCGTTGTTATTTATTGCAACTGAAAAATAGCGCAATATCTTTGCAAAATGCTATAACAAACTTTATAGAATGGCGTATTGTCTTGATCTTTGTTCTCTTGTTTTATAAGTAGAATATTTTCCCAAAGAATACATGTAAAAGTTATTGCAATAAAATACACATACTTCATTTGAAGATACAAGTTTTTGAACATTATTAATTAAACACTTCCCTACTGGAACCGAAAATGATAAGCCTTTGCCGCCAGTGTCTCAAACTCTAATCTCAGATATTTAAATTGTTCTGAAACAGGCACAGAATGAGCACTGGTCAATGAAAACTTGAGGTCCGAGACATGTCTCTGAAAAATATAATCGAGGCCTGAACAGGTTCAAGCTCATCTTGATATCCCAAATATTAAAGCATCTATTTGACAGTAACTACGATTGGTAATAAAATTGTCTATTCATTAAATTAAGCTGGTAAAGGAATTTTTCATTTTTTCACAAATGTTACAATGAAGTATGTATCTCACGTGAATTTTATTGAAAGACTGGGCATGTTCCACCTGTTTTATCAATTAAATAATGAAGTATAAATCAATTATATATCAGATATACGTCAGTATTTATTTCAGTTCTGGTTATTGTCTCAGCAGGATGACAGTTAATTAGCTCTTTGTTATTCTCTCCCGTCCGTTTATGGTCGTCGTTACGAGTTTAATGTATTTATGGTTCAAGATAATCCTAACATAAGGCCAAACAATACAGGATTAGGTTTGCCTGGTTAAATGGTATCCTATTTTATTGAAGGAAGAAGTGGCTTACTCCCGGCTGAATAATTTAGTCTATCAGACAACAGTCTGTCAACTGAAAGCATTGATTTAAATCTTCTTGTGCATATGATTTCCTCCAAGGTTTTACTTATTGAAATACATAACTCAAATTAACTGATTAATTTATCTTACAATGATTATGTTCACTGCAACTTCTGAAAACGGAAGACCTGTGAGACTACGCACTGATAAGTACTGATATTGGAAGTTTCCGGAATTCATAACTTCGGAGAAACATGATTCGGGCATGATATAAATATATGACCCTGATCAAATTTTCAAAATAAAAGTATTTGAGGATTCTCAAAAAAAATATTTAAATTTGATGTCACATTTAACTGACTTTATTGAAATATTAGTGTAAAGTTAAGTTATCACAATTGACCCTTTAGCATGTTTGATCAGTGATGCAATACCAGCTAATTACTTATCATTTTTTTAAACCAATTTTCTTCAAAGGTTTACCTTGACTTCGTTATAGAACGCTTTAGTTTGGGCAATGTCTTGAAATCAGTTTAAATCAGACCTCAAACACGAACTAGCGTTTCTTTGTTAATATTTTTTCGTCTGACATTGTGTTTAGGAGACAATCATTTTCCCAACACATTGACAGCTAATTAAGTTTTATTTTTCTCCCCTTTCCGTTTATGGAACTATTAGCTCTGATAATGTGATAATAGGTATTAATGGTGCACGATAAATTCCGAAACAACATTTAATTACTGGTACATAAAGGTCCTGATAATGTTCACAAATGATGGTATCCATGTCCGGGTGACATTCATTCCGGAAATAATTACTACCAAGGAGGTAATATATTTTCACCTTTTCCTCGTGTGAGAAGTATTTTATGACGTTGTAACAAAGATAGGATTCCATTACACCTACTCATAAATTTCAAATGTTGATGGTAAACTTTCTAAACCACTATAATGATTGTCAAATAATGATAGCTTTGAGAAAATAACAACTATCAACATTACAATAATGAATATAATAATAACAAAAAGACCTAAATTCTTAATTCTCTAAACGATGACCAGATTCTCCCAAATTTACTCGACATATTGGTGAAATCAAACATTCTGTGTGTTCAAATTAATATCGCAAGTTCCAGTTTTCAGCTATCGCAAGTTTTCTATTTTGATATCCAAGTTTCATGCCCATAGAGATATTATTTTAATGAAGTTCCTTTATATATAATTATGGAAGGCTAACACAAGTTATTCAAGAACCAAATGCAAAATACTTTCAAGACCTCGTATTGTCAGCTTCATTAACGAAAGTAGTACGGGTTGATCCCCTTATAATGGCAAATAG